TCTTTATCTTTGACCTTTGAGAGTTTGATTATTAAATGCTTTGAGGTAGCCTTCTTTGGATTAAATTCACTTGGTGTTCTATAACCTTCTTGTACTTGAATGTTGGTATCTTTCTCTAGGTTTGGGAAGTTCTGTGTTATTTTCCCTTTGAATAAACTTTCTACCCCTATCTATTTCTCTACCTCTTCTTTAAGGCCAATAACTCTTAGATTTGCCATTTTGAGACGTTTTTCTTAGATCTTGTAGGAATGTTTAATTCTTTTTAATTATCTTTTATTTTGTCTCCTCTGACTACGTATTTTCAAATACCCTGTCTTCAAGTTCAACAATTCCTTCTGCTTGATCAATTCTGCTATTAAGAGATTCTGGTGCATTCTTCAGTGTGTCAGTCACATTTTTCAGGTCCAGAATTTCTACTTGATTCTTTTTATTTCCATCTCTTTGCTAAATTTGTCTGACAGAATTCTGATTTCCTTCTCTGTGTTATCTTGAATTTTTTTGAGTTTCTTCAAAACAGCTCTTTTGAATTCTTTGCCTTCAAGGTCACTTATCTCTGTTTCTCCAGGATTGACCTTGGTGCCTTATTTAGTTCATTTGGTGTGGTCATGTTTTCCTGGATAATCTTGATGCTTGTGGGTGTTCAACAATGTCTAGGCATTGAAGAGTTAGGTATTTAGTTTAGTCTTTGTACCCTGGGCTTGTTTGTACCTATCCTTCTTGGAACGTCTTTCCAGTTATTCGAAGGGACTTCAGTGTTTTGACCTAATTTGTTTCTGCATTAGGGGACACTGCAAGCCCAATAATGCTATGGTTCTTGCAGGTTGTAGAGGTACTGCCTTGGTGATCTTGGATACGATCCAGAAGAATTCTCTGGATTACCAGGTAAATACTCTTGTCTTCTTCCCTTACTTTCTCCCAAACAGAGTCTCTGTGTGTGTTCTGAGCTGTCTGGAACTGGGGATAGAGTGACATAAGCAGCCCATCGCACTACCACTGGGACTACACTGGGTCAGACCTGAAGCCAACACAGCATTGGGTCCCACCAAAGGCCTACTCTAACTACTGCCTGGCTCTACTTATGTACTTACGTTTGCTCAGGGCCCTAGGACTGTACAATCATCATATAGTGAAGTTAGCCAGGCTTAATGTCCTTCCTTTCAGGTCAGTGAGTTCCCCCAGGACCCAGGCAGGTCCAGAGATGCTCTTCAAGAGTCAGGGCCTGGAGTCAAAAACTTTAGAAATCTACCTCATGCTCTGCTCTACTGTGGCTAAGTGGGTGCTCAATCCACAAGACAAAGTCCTTCCCACTTTTCCTTTCCCATTGCACAGGCAGGGGTACCTCTCCCCATAGCCACCATCACAACCATGTGTCCACAATATGGTGGGTACTGCCAGGTGACTGCCGATGTTCCCTTAAGGCTCAAGGGCTCTTCAGTCAGCTTGTGGTGAATGCTGCCTGGCCTGGGACTCACCTGTCAGGGCAGTGGGCTCCCCTTTGGCCCAGGGCAGGTCCAGAAATGCTGTCCATGAGCCGGTATCTGGAATCAGGAACCTCAAGAGCCTGCTTGGTGCTCCCACCGTAGTCAAGCTGGTACCAAAGGTTCAAGACAAAGTCTGCTTTATTTTTCCCTCTGCTTATCTCAAGCAGAAGGAATCTTTCACAGTAGGCACCACAGCTCAGAATGTTCTGGGTCTTATCTGAAGCCAGCATATCTCAGTCTCACCCAAAGTTCTTGATGTACTACCTGGGTATCGCTGCTGGTTATGCAGGACGCAAGGGATCTTTAGTCAGCAGGTGATGAATGTTGCCAGGAGTAGCTCCTTCTCTTCAAGGCAGCAACTTGTTGCTGACCCAGGATGTGTCTAAAAACATCCGTGAGCTGGGGCCTGGAATCGGGGCCTTACGACTCTGCCCAGTGCCCTGTGCTACTGTGTCTGAACTGTTATCCAAGTTATAAGACAAAGCCCTCGTTTCTTTTCCGCTTTCTCTGCTCAAGTGGAAGGAAGGAGTCCGTTTCGGAGCTGTAAGCTGTACTGCCTGGGGTTGGTGGAGGGGTGGCATGGGCACTCCCTTAGCTTCCCTGGCCAGTGTCTCAGTAGGTCATATACCCTCTAAGTTCACTGGCTTCATGTCCAGCACAGCACTAAGACTTGTCATTCTTGTGGCCTAAGCTGCCTTTTGAGTTTATTTAGGACTCCAGAGTGCTTTAGCCCACAATGGTGGGTCTTGCCTGAACTCAAATTCTGACCACTTGGATAGGCAATTCCCCTCTGGCTAGGGCTGTTCTAAATGTTGCCAGCGTGAGTGGGCATCAGCTGAGTTCAGCCTAGGTTTGTTTTCCACTATAAGAAGGCAGCACTGAGGTCAACGCAGGGTCCTACAATCACTGTGCTCTCCCTCCCCCAAGTACATAGATCCTGCGTGCCATGTGGCCACTGCTGGGGGTTGGCGGAGGGATGGTCTTGGCAATTTAAGACTGTCTTTTCTACCCTCTTCAGTGCCTTTTTCAGTAATATGAAGTTAAAACCAGGTGCTGTGATTGCTCACTTGATTTTTGGTCCTTATGAAGGTTTTGTGTGTGTGTGTGTGTATGTGTGTGTGTGTATGTAGATAGTTGTTACATTTGGTGTTTCTGGTGGGGGAAAAAGAGGATGATTGGTGAATGCTTCTATTCGACCAGCTTGCTCCACCCTTGAAAAATATTGTCTTTTAATATGAATCCTAGAATAACAAAATTGAGGACTTTCCTTCTGGGTGGTCCCACACATACATATTTATTATGTTTCTATCTTCATTATGTATGTACCTATGCATTCTTTATATACAAATTCTGTGTATCCATGTGGCCATCCTATCCATCAGTCCATCTTTATCCCAATCTTCCATTAGTAATACAACTGCTAGTTGTGTGTCAAAGACGGTAAGAAACAGAGAAAACCCCTATACTGAATATTTTAATTTTCAATTATCTGTTATGAGTGCAGCTACTCCTTATCCAGTCCCATGTTCCTGGGGGAGTTATATACACAAAGGAGATGCCAGACAAGTGTAATCTTTTTATTCCTAGTTGGAGTATGGCTCACAACCCTTTTCATGGTGAGTTTGGACCTAGGAGAGCCACTGGGATGCCTTTTGCTTGGGCTTGAGGCTGCCTGCAGAGGCCTGGGTGGTAACTTGCCCCTATCAGCCCTGTTTTGGCTCTCATGTGGCTTTCCTAGGTCAAGGAGGCTATGGTGGAAGGCAGCACACAACCCTCTCCAGTGGCTTCTCCCTAAAAAGTCCTAGAAGAGCTACATCCCGTCAGAGAAATTAAAAAAAAAAAAAAAACACCCTCAATAAGGGAGGACTGTAAAGAGACCCTGCTACATGAATGAGAAGCCTTTGCCTGCCTCTTAATGTGCCAACTCCGCCATTTCTTAGCATCAGGACGCAACGCTGTTCTTGGCTCTGCCCAAGACCATCAGTCTTTCTCAGGAGTAGGGGGCCAGGAGAAGTGCTTTGAGCTAACCCAGCAGGATGGGTGGGTAACCAACATTGACCTAGAGGCTAAAGACATGGCAACATTCACACCAAATATGATCATTGTATTGGATACCACTTGTTCCTTACCTCACAGACTCACCTTATTCTACCTTTTGCTGTGGCAGCCAGCTCGAGTCAGACGTCATTGACAGGATCTCCTCTCAGCTTCACCAATTAGCTCTTGCTGCCTGCCCAGGGCTTCTTTGCCACCTCAATATTTAGTGTATTCTTTCATTACACTAAAACTAAATAAAATGTTTCATTTTACTTTCTGTAAGAAACCATTTACTCTTCTACAGAAAACATCTGAAAAGTGGTTGTCAGAGCTCAGTGGTCACAGTGGCACTGGTGACTCTGAGGAGGCCGGTAGCAATTGGGATGGGAAATGGAGGGAGAAAGTTGGAGAGATGAAAGTGGGCAGGGCAAAGCCTCTCCATCCATCTGGCAAACCCCTAACTCATCGAAGCAGATCAAACAGTTCAGTAAAATATGTTTAAGCCACGCTCAAGATGATTGCAGGCAATCCAAGCATGGAGATTTGGCTTTAACCAGATGAGGAAAACTGTAAGCCGGGTGCGGTGGCTCATGCCTGTAATCCTAGCACTTTGGGAGGCTGAGGCAGGAGTATCACTTGAGGTCAGGAGTTCAAGACTGGCCTGGCCAACATGGTGAAACTGTGTGTCTACTAAAAAATATAAAAATTAACTGGGTATGGTGGCATGCACCTGTAATCCCAGCTACTCAGGAGGCTGAAGCAGGAGAATTGCTTGAACCTGGGAGTTGGAGGTTGCAGTGAGCCAAGATCATGCCTGGGCAACAGAATTGAGACTCTGTCTCAAAAGCAAGCAAGCAAGCAAACAAACAAAAAACAGATAAACTTTAGATCTCCCAACCTGTGAAGTGAGCAGAGCAGAAAAATATTTTTAGTCATTTTTTTCCCTTCGCTGAGCCTGTTGTGGCTTGAAAATGTTGAGGTGCCATTTTTGCTGTAACTGTCTTACAAGGATTCTGCCTTGCAACCATCTCTCTTTCAAAAGGCTGACTTTTTCTTGTTTACAGCAAGTTGTAGAATTGTAGCTGATTATATGTTATATTAGAGTGGGAAGGGGCCTTCGAGATCATTCAGTTCAGCGGTTCTTTTCAGAAGATGCTTAATGGTATGTCATAATCACACCCCTAGTTTGTGTCTGAGCCAGGTTTCTAACTCAGGTAGTCTGACTCCAAGTAATCCAAATTTTCTCACTGTACAGGGTGAAACACCACCTGTAGGGAATTGTGTAAGGGGAAATGATTTTGAAGTGTGAATTGAAGTAGATTCTCTGCTCCGGGTTTAGAATTCTACTGAAAACCAAGAACGAATGAACTAATACTTAGCTGTGCGAGAAAGGAATTCCAGGGGGATACAGCAATTGGTTTTTCTTTTCCCTTTTGCACCTCCTATTAATGTGAGCAGGATCTGCATTTTCCTGTTTTACAGATTCAACTACAAAGAAAGAATTATGAACAGAAGCTCTACTACTTCATAAAGAAGAAGAGGCCTTGATTAATAAATAACCTGACACCCTTCAGATGTTGCACAGGGAAAAACGGAATGCCCCAATTTCTGGGAGTCACTGTACTTCACTTACCCAGGAGCTTGTTTTACAGGCATTTGCCTGCTTAGTTAATTGTAGTTATTCCCAAAATAAACCCCATTTTGTGTGGGACTCTTCTATTCTGAGGGAATGATGTAAGCAAGAATATTGGCTGGAGTATCTTGAATATCTGTGATGGATGGCTCCTCAGAATGAATCCTAAATCTCCAAGGGACCCCTTTTATCTTGTGATTTTGCTCAGAGGTTCTAAGCTGCTGCTGGGAAGGGTTCCAGTTCTATATTCTCTGTCTTCTGGAAGCACTGATGAAATCACTCAGGTGCTATCCGCTTCCATCTCTCACTAAGCACCTCTTGGCTCTCCTTCGTCCCCACAGACTGAAAGCATGGAGGTGACTAATGAGATGTGTCTTCCCCTTCAAATTGTTCACAAGTCCCACATGACCTTTGGCAGGCAGGGGTTCCACCGTGGTGCTTCTGACTGTGGATAAGGGGAAATACGTGCTCACCACGGCTTGCTATTTCTCCTTGCTCCCATGACCAGTGCGGCAGCTCTGTTAAATGGTCAGGCACGGTTTGTTGGTGGCCCCCAAACAATCCATCAGCAGTGGACACATTATAGAAAACATGGCTTTGAGTCTTAGCTTAAACTACATTTATGTAGCATGACAGTAGGAGAAATACCTAATCGTGCTTGGATTACAATTCAAACAAAGGCCTCATGACTGTCTTGCATATGCAGGGTCCACACACTGTTTTCCAGAGAAGTCAAGATGGGAGAGGGTGTGATCTGTTCTGTCACGAACAGTTCTGTTTCCAGACCATTTCTCAAAGTCACTGAAGGCCCATTTCTGGGGAAATGATTACTAAACTGATGATTATTTTATTTGTATTGCTGGCTATTCTCAACTTCAGGGAAAACGTAAGGTAGCTGTGGAGTTTAAGGAAAAAAAATGTGTACACAAAATGAGAAGCCACATCTGCCTGTAGCACTAGCAAAAATCAAAGAAGTCTGGCTTATTTCAACACCGGCCACCCCAAAACAAAATTAGTATTTGAATCAAATTAACATATTTGACTCAATCACCTAAAAAATAGCTGTTGGATGAAAAAATAAAAGAGAAAATAGTGTCTAATTAGTGACTGGCCATTTTCAAAGTGGCTTCTCCTACATTATCTCATTTTTTAAAAAGTAAATTTGATCTTTTTAAATGTTAGAGTGAAGTGGTTCACAATTGCTTGAAATAAGCAAAGGACATTATATTTATAAGCATGCAAATTACAAACCAGGCAAAACAGTCTCTTCTGCTGCTTTATATATTTTTGTCAACCATCATAGATTCATGGAAAGGTCTCAAATAGATAGAACAAAATGGATTTTAAAAAATTGTTTGAACTTAGCGTGTTTTTCATTTCTTTCTCTCTCTGTCTTTGGTCTCAGTTTCTTTCTCTGGTACCTTCTCTTGAATGGTGAACTATTATTACTTGCATTTGGATAGATTATTATTTAGTTTGCAAAACATACAATTTTTCCACTCATTAAAATCTCATAGTTGCCCAACTTCATTAAGATAAATGGAATTATTCATCTGTTTTCCCCCCTTTGGCTATGGGGGTCAATGAAATGATGTTAAGCAGGAGAGGATAGGGTTGGCAAACACTTTCAAATGTCACTAAGTAATTTCAGGAAGGAGCTGGCCTGCCACTGTCCTGAATGATGGATATGCTCTCAACCTTAATGGCCATTAAAGATGTACATAATAACAGTTTGCATTATAACCATCACTGTTCAACACTTGAATTTTGTGACAGTTAAAACTAGGAGTGGACACTTCTGAAATCTGATTAAAATACACTGAGAAGTAAAAAACGGAACAAAGCAAGACAAACAAAACCCTGAGACTAACAAGCAGTCAAGGATGGCAAACGAAAAAAGAAAAAGAAACAAGAGTATAGCCAACTTGTTTTTTTAATTAGAGTATATTATACTTTCAAACTGGATACACTAGAAATTGGCAATGCAACATAAGATGCAAAGGAATATACCAGTTACTGTCAAAATGACCCTGTACAGCCTTGTAATGCAAAAAGCTTTATACAATACAAATTTTCAGTAATGTACACAAACCTTGACAGTATGATCATCTGAACATAATATGAAGAGTTAAAAAAAGGATAGAAGAAAGAAAGTGCTGAGAACCCTAACTGCATTACTATATGGAAAAATAAGCTAGTTTTCATTGAAGAATGCATAGTGACAACAATTGAAGTTAGTTGGTAGGTGAATTTCTCAAAGATGTTAGTGTTTTACACGGAAAGGATATCTATGGAATACATCCTTCCCTGAGTATCAAACTGCAAACCAAATTCAGGGGAACATATTTTCTAGGGTGGAGTCTGAAAAATGCTGTAGATTTTTTTTCTTTATTAATAACAATAATAATATAAAAAGTCAAACAAACTCCAAACACACCTTTTCTCACTCAGAAAACTTTTATAATTTACCAGAAAGATTGATGACTCTTTCCAAAGTGCTAAAAAAGTTGCCCAATTATATTAAGCATGACTAAGTCATTCAAATACAAGTTCAGTGGCAAGCAGTGAAATGCATGGCATTTGAGCAGTAAACGTCTCCTTCTTTCACCCCCTCTTGTTCTTGAAACTTTCAATCCTAAGACCTCCTATTGCACAAGTGGCATGCTGTAAAACCTATGGTCCGAATTGTCAGGGCCACCCTTTCAGGGTTTTAACCCGCTGGTGCTTGAGTGTGATTCACCTTTTCTACCAGCCTCTGTGGGATCACTTTAGCCCACTTTCCTGTCAACACTGAACTTGTAATTTTGAAAACACATTATTAGCCAAGTGGCACATTCTCCATTATATGGGGATAAAGACATGACTTGAAAACAAAACAACCCAACCCACCCATAAGCCCAGTATTCTTGGAGTGTATTGTCCATAACTATCTATAGTGTCTTTTACTGAGACATTGATGTGGCGAGGTTGAACATCGTTTCAAACCCGGCCGAGAACAAAGGTCTCTGCTGGAGAATGACTGAGGGTTTGGGAGCTTCCCGCCCTAGCTGGTTTGGCCTCCCTGTCCCTGTGGGCATCTCCTTAGTGTAAACAGATTTGCCAGGGCACCGAGCAGGCTCCCCATCCATGGCGGGATGACTGGCAAAGGGAGGTGTAGCGTACCTGCTGGGTGTGGGGGAGAGGGGCTGGCATGGAGGGGACTGAGGAGACCATGGTGTGGACAGACAGTACAGTCTTCTGGCTTCCTGTAGAACTGTACTAATTTCCAGGGAGCTTTCAGCAAAGCAAACTGACTAGAGGAAGAACATTAGGGATGCTTTTATTTTCCCCTGGTGAAACAGATTTTAAAAAACCCCAACTCTTAGGATAACACATGATGGAAAACAGCAACACAGTAAGAAAGTGTTCCTCCTGTACACCAGTTCTCCAATAGATAAATTAAATATATAAACTTTTATATTCCAAACTTCCCATTATTATACAAAGAACATTTCTTCCTGCTCTTTCAGCCTGTTTCATACTGGAAATTCTGTTGTTTTAAAAATACAAGCAATGAACATATTCAGCCAAAGATTTTTTCCTTTTTTCTTTTTAAATCACCCATTACTTTTTAAGATTAGCAAAGGGCTTTACAACCAACCCACACCTGCTTCCTGCTGCAATAAAGTGCTGCACATAAATTGCCATTTTAATGACCACAAAATAAGAGCTTTTAAATAAGTATAAAGTTAGCCTCCTAGCAGGTTACATCTACCAGGCGTTAACAAAATGGAATACAGAATTACTAATAACATGGAGGATACCGCGATATAGCCAGAAGACCGGCAAAACGCAATGGAAACTTGTCAGGGGCATAAACTGAACCATAGGACTAAACAGCACCTTTTTGTTGCGTCATTATATGTCAAAGAGGTTGTGGCTAAATCTTCAAACATACAGTCTACTCATTCCATAAAAAAGGTACATTTTCTTCCTTTTTACTTTTTTCAGATGAGAAACAAAAACTAGTGCAAGACCACAGCACTGTGCAAAACTGCCGTTTCTTTTTTTTAGTCTGAGCATTTATACCCAGAATTTATCCAAACCCCTTTTAATCTCCTTGGCTGGATTTATCAACCATAAATTTTTTTCACTCATACATTTCTTTTTCCTGCAAACAAATGGTAACCACTGAATTAATACATCATATATATATATATAATCTGCCCTTAAAAAATGATGCACTGTGTGTGTGCACCGTACACATTTGTCTATGTGTGGGCACACACACAAAACACACTTAAGTTCTGTGATGTTTGCTGCAGTGCTGCGAGATATTTCTTCCAGATCAGTCACTTGATTCCTCGCCTCTTCATCGCCAGAGAAGATCTGAGTACAAGGTCTCCAGCGCTCTGGTGGAAATCTCCAGCAGCACTGTAGATGTCTACCATTCCTTCATCGACTAAGCACCAGGCCCTACCACTCTGTAGCCGTCAAAGAGAGAGGGAAAGGTGATGAAGGAGCACAGGGAGAGACTGTCGTGGATGAACAACCCAGGAGGGAAAAGAACGTTCATCGCTGTTAAAGAAGCCAGTACAAAGAATGTGCAATAGAAATGTCATGGCACACGACACACGGCTTTCTCTTTCAGAATCCACAAACGCCCACACACCGCATTCACCCAACAGAAAACCAAATGCACCAGTATATAAGCTTACAAGTGCTGATTGCTATTAAGGACACTCTCTTTAGGGTTTAACAAGACAAGATTCCTTTCAGAGAAAAGTACGGAGAAGGGCTGAGAGTGGGAGTGGGTGGCTGGGGAGGCATGCCTCTGAAGGTAGAAGTATGCAGTAGGTCACCTCTCTGAAGATTGGATAAAGCAGCTTTCAGGTCAATGCAATAGGTATACACACAGAGCCAATTCTCTATTCCTTACTAAAGATATACAGTACACATGTTTCAGACCCATGGGGGTCTGTAGGTTTTGCAGCAACATACACCTGCTGGGGTTGTGTTTAAGTTTTGTGGGTTTTTTTTTTTTTTGTCTTTTGTCTCTTTGTTTTTGGTACAGAACATGGCTGCCCTCAGACAGTCTCTGCTCTTTCTCTCAGTCCGAGATAGGCGAGGAAGGAGTGTTTGGGTGAGGGGATGCTGGGAGGCGCAGTCTGAGGTCGGGGAGGGTGGAATGTGAGATCCAAGTGGTTCTTGGGGTATAACATTGTCAAGGGAATGAGATGGGCAAAATCTGAGTTCCGGTACTTGTCAAAGCGCAAATGGGAGCCGTTGAAGGCCAAAGCCTTGAGTGCCAGGTTGGGCTCTGAGCTGCTGCTGTGGGCTGCTGTCAGGGCCACGGTCTGCAGAGCCTGGGAAGCGGACATAACCGACAGGGGAGACAGGAGATTCCGGGAGCTCCCGACCACCAGGAGCGGGGCCCCCGGGCCGGCCGGTTCCTTGGGGGCTGGACACAGGCCCTTCTTGTCCTCCTCGGGGCAGTCCCCACTCTGGTGCTTCTTGACGTGGCGGCTGAAGACGAAAGGGTGTGTGGTCTTGAACAGGCACTCTTCGCAGCTGAAGGTCTGGCGTGGGGCGTGCTTCAGCTTCTTGTGCAGGTTGAGATTGTCCTTGCGCTTGCAGCTGTAGCTGCACTGGTCACAGTGGAAGGGCCGCTCCCCGGTGTGGACGCGCACGTGCTCGATGAGCTTGTTGGCGGTCTTGGACAGGTAGCCGCACTGGTCGCACTTGTAGTGGTTGCCCAGGCGGTGCTCCCGGGTGTGCGTCTCCAGCTCCAGCTGGTTGGCCTTCACCGTCTGGCAGATCCGGCACTTGTACTCCATCTTGTAGTGGGTCTTGAGGTGGCACTCCATGGCAGCGGGGCGGTTGGTGGAATAAATGCAGAATGGGCACCTGCCGGGGGAAGCAACGCAAGGCAGGTTCAGCCGGGGAGGTTCGGAGGCAGCCGCGCTTCTCCCCGCCTCACCAGCCTTCCCTCACACCACCCCGCAGTGTCTGAGGCCTGACCTGCCCAGCCCAGCCCAGCCCTTGCCGCCTCTCAGGGGTGGAACGGCCCTTTTTGGCTCTCCCTGCTGACAGAGCAGTCCCCGCTGACAAGCAGCTCTGGCGAGGTCCGCTCAGCCTATTCTGGGTCTCCCGGCCAATACAGGCAAGGCCAGCCCTCACCAAGGGGAGCAGAGAAAGTGCCAGGAATCAATTTGCTGGTGCTCCCCTCCAGCCCCCGCCCGGCCCCTCGGAGCCCTCCCCACTCCCGACCAGACAGCGTAGAGGTCTAAACCTCCTGACCTCCCCTCTAGATGGGAGCAACACAAAGAATCGACTTTTCATGCACCACACCAAGCACACGCAGAAAGGCTAAGAGGTTTTAAAGAACAGCTTATAGGGGGAGCGCTACCTCCAGCAAACAGAAAGTCACAGGGGTCAGAATCGTGCTTATTAAGGGGTTGTTAGGATGAGAAGGCCTGTGTGTGTATCTCTGTGTGAGTGTGTGCATGTGTACATATCTATGTACTCGTAAAACATATCTCCCTGCAGGACTGGCTCTTTGTCAGGAAAGGAAGCTGAGGACTATGGCAGGGGCATGGGAGGAGAAGGAAGCCCACCCAACGGCCCATCTGCTAACGAGGAAGGGAGGAAGGAGGGAGACAACTGCTATCTGGAGCTCAAAGACATTATTAATACATGATTATGCTGGAGACAGGATAATAATCCGACTGGATTGGAAATTCTCAGAGGGCAGGACCGTATCTTACATTTCCTCTGCATTCTCTGCAGTGCTTGGTAGAGTAGTCAGCACATGGTAAGCACTCAGGACATACTGGTTCATTATTTGAGTGGTCTCTACAGGCAATTTAGGCAGATTCTGGAAGGGCGGATGCTGGTCCCAGCTCCATCACCTTGTCAGGCTGGAGCTGGATACCCTAGCCTGGGCCTCTCTGTGGCTCAGTTTCTCCATCCTTTGCAGTGAGGCTATGCTACCACCAACCCTCCTGGCTGTCCAGAGGGGCCACGAGGAGTGGTGAGGCCATGTTAACAAACTCCGCTGAGCTTCCCTTTTAGAAGCTGCCAGGCTGGAGTCAGTGGCTTATATGAGAACTGTAGCGTGTTTGCTCTCTTTCCACAAAGAATGCAAATGCAAAAGTGGCTGCCTCAGCTCTTGCTTGGCTCCTGCAGGGCAGGGCCCAGGAGTGGACTGTCCTCGGAGGGTCTGGAGAGGTGTTCAGCAGAGCCCAACACAACCAAGTGCACCGTGCACGGCCTCCTCAGCGCCAAGCTCGCCGTTAGCCTTTGAACCTCAGCTCACAGAAGAGTGCACACGAGAGAAATATAAAGCCCATTCCCAGGTCAGGTGCACACACAACCCCTACGCCAAGCTGGGCCTTACCTAGAGGAGTCTGAAACTCACCACTGTCCTGAGCTACGGCAAAAGAAAAATAATAGTATAATCTTATTTGATCTGCATTATGAACAGGATATAGAGTACAAGCAGTTCCATCACAGAAAAGCAATTTAGACATCAGCAGTCTGTTTCATTTTAAGGACATTTCTGTGACCCACAGCTCAATCTTTCTTTCGCTGCTCAGGCAAAGTGCTAAGGGTTTTCCGTGCTCCCGTTATTTTCTTAAAGACACTCTCTCAGGCAAATTAATTCTCTGATATGGCAAAGGAAACAAAACAAAACAAAACAAAGACTCACTGTATAGCCAGAAGGCATTATCAATTTTTTCAAAGTATTCTTCTACTTGGTCATCCTAGAACATAAACTATTACACAGGGGACGGTTAGCACCGCACGGGAAGTGTCTGTACCAGCAAAAGCATCAGAGTTCACTGTGCATTCTCCCCAATGGCTTCAGAGGCTTGGGACTTTGAAGGTCCCTGAGGAAAGGCGAACTGGCAAAGCCACAACTGGCAGGGGCCGCAACGTTCATGGGTGTGATTGGGCTACTGGGAAGGGCAGTGAGCACTGGTCCAACCATAGAAAAACATGGTTCTGGTGTTTCTTTTTAAAATGAGAGCACACAAATATTTATAAAGGGACAGTGGGAACAAACCAAATCAAATCCCCAAATAAGCTCTCGCTAGGCATTTCCCATCTACTGGTTTCCTTGAATTATAATCACCCCCTCCCCAATCCCTTCTGCCCTCCCCTCCCCCTCCCTTCGAAGCACCCCCACGAGTGAAACAAAATGGAGTTCAACGGTGGGTCCTGTTGTTCCCTGATTCTCCTGTGTGGGGGAGTTTTTGAGGAGGCAGGGGCCTGGGGGGACCCAGCCCGCACTGCCCCCAACACTCCACTCCCGGGGTCCTTTCCATCTCTCCCTTCCTCAGCCATCTGGGGGAGTCATGCCACCTCTCTGGCGGCTTGTGAGTTTCAATGATGAACATGTTTTAAAACAAAAGGTTTTTTTCCCCCTCGTGTTAAGTAAATGTAATTTTTCATTCAACATGATCGTTTAGCTGAGAATTAGTAATTATGCCTTGAAAACTGTGTCTTTCTGTGTCCTCCTACCTGTGCTGCTTTCTCTTCACCAGACCCTAAGTGTCTTGTGAACAGGGACTCTGATTTCACCGTGCAGATTAGGTAGTACTAGGACATACATTTCTTGAGGGTGGAAATGGTGTTTTATTCCTGTGTGCCCGTTAGCGCCTATTATCAAGCCAGACACACAGTGTGTTTGATATTAATTGATTGGTTTCACTTGAGACCAAAGAGCCTCTTGAAAATACTGGTTAAAGATGATGCTCGTTGTCTAGATCTTGGGAAGAAGACATCAATATGTTTGCAGGAGGACCATGAAGCACATGATCTTTTCATGAAAAATGTTGCCTCCTGCCTGTTCAAACTGTCCAATTTTGGAGGATGGGGTGGTTGTAATGCTTCCTTAAAGGATATGTAGCAAGCCATCGGAGAAACAGAGATGGTGAGTCTCGGTGACAGTATGATTTATGCTTGGGGACACTAAGCCCTGAGTCCATCAAAATTAAGTCTGAATAAAACTCAGGCAGTGTAGGAGGAGTCTATTCTTGCATGCTGGGTTGTTCCAACGTGTCTTTTCTCTTGCTCTGAATCCCGGGATATTTGCAAAATGGATTCTTCTACTGACATCTGTTGACACCCTAGGGGGACAGGGCTAATTCAATCCAGCTAAAGGCAGCAGGGGTTCCTGACTAACTCCCCTCATACCAAGCTTCCCTTCTCCATGACTCCCAAAACCTTCACGGGAAGGGACAGGGCAGGGAAGGGGAAAGGGTATTTAATAACAACGCAGTAAAAGGTTCTGTACTTGCTTTCCTTACTTGAGCCCACCGGTGGGGACAGTGTGGCATTTCTTATGCTCCAGCAGCTGTTCGGGGGTCTTCATGAACTTATGGCACACATCACACTCAAACATCCGGGTGATGAGGTGTATCTGCAGATGACGCTCAAACATGTTCTTCGTCTTGCAGACAAAGTTGCAAAAAACGCATTCGAACCCTGCAAGGACCGAAGCTGGGTATAGAGGTGCACAGGGCAGCGGGGAGAGGAGGGCAGGAGTGGAGCCAAGCTCCCCCTTCCTCGCATCTCCTCAGACGCCTGACAACTATACTCTTCCAGGCACTGTTCCCCATATCTCCGTGCAAAAAGGAGTTAAATGTACAAACATCAGAATCAATGTCACCCTCCCCATCCTTCTACCCCATACTGGAATGCAAATTAAGCCAAAAGAAATGCAAACTTTAGGTGAGGCCCAGTATACTGCATCCTGGGCCTATTATCAGTTTCTGACATTGCTCCTGTCCAGGGCTTATTCTCAAGAATAGGTCATCCTGGGTGCAGAGGGTTGAGCAGGCTCACACCCAGCTCCTCCTTACCTTTCTCTGGTTTTTCCTCACTGTTCAGTGAGGGCTGGCTCCCAGGCATGACAGAGATGACCAGCAGGTTGTTCCCGCCCTTGTTTTTCTGGGAACCATCTGAATCATCTTTGCTGTTGGCCGAATCACTCAGAGCTGAGAGGGAGGATGAAGAGGGGCTATTTGATTCGCTGGGGGTCTTCCTGTCTTCCCCTAAAAAATAAGCAAATAACCCAGTCTGTTACTGAGATGAAAATCCTCAGAATGATAGCAACTGAGGGTGACGAGTTGAGTCTCACGGATGCATCATCATTCTGGGAGCACAGACTCATGTCCCCAGCTCCCCCACCACTGAGGGATCCCAGGCCCTAAGGCACCTACCCCCTTTGTGGTACTGGGGGCCAAAAGCAGGCATTCATTCATTTGAGAAGTGTTTATTAAGGTCTTACATGAATTAAAATAAAATGACAGTAATAGCTAAGATGTACTGAACATGTTACCGCTTTCCAGGAACTGTGTTATACTTTAAATTATCTCATTTTGTTTTTTCAAAAATCCTATGTGGCACAATGGTTACCCGCCCCATTTTATGATGAGGGAATGGAGTCACAGAAAGGTTAATCTGGCCTAGATCCTATGGCTGGGAAGTGGTGGAGAAGAGGTTTGAGTTGGTCTGACTCCAGGGTCCATGCTCTTCATCAGTACACTGGACCCTCTCCCTCAAAGCCAGACACAAACAAGTCAGCAGGCCATTAAAATCTAGTGTCAGAAGACTTCTGCTTCTACTCAAGAGAGAGTGTCAGGGACTGGGTTTACCATTACTACTAACAACTGAAAAAAATCAGACAAAATATACCAAATGCTAGTTTTCATATCACTGGATGTTAGGCAATGAAGAAAAGTGGTCCCTGAGAGACAGGAAACAAAAGAGGTGAGCCACATGACTGATCAGTTTCCTGCCTTGAGACTCTCCAGGCTTCAGTGCAGAGAGGAGGAACCAGGTGGAACCTGACAGACGCCCTGAGTGGAGGAGACAGAGCTGACGGTCTGACCAGACTTTGCAAGACGGAGTATCAGAGGGGAAGGGCAGCACTCCAGAGACACAGAGAGGGTCCCCCTTGAGTATTCAGCAAAGTATGGATCAGAGCATGGGGATGAAGAAACTACCCATAGTTGGAGGGGGAAAAGCCACCTGAAAGGCTTAGAGAACAGTGCCCGGCACTCAGAGAGGGCTAGAAATAATGCCTGTTTCTACTAGTCAGATTGGAAAAACACGTAATTTACAGGGCATTAGGTGGAAAACTAAGAAAGGTCTCTTAGTAGTGGGTTAAACCTAGATTAATCACTGCTTAGTGATCTAGACCTGCCAAAGAATCATGAAAGCAAGACCCCAAAGGAATGAGGTTTCCAGGTAGCTAGCTGCATCTTAAAACAAAGGTCAAGAATATGTATAGGAATATAAAATATTAAGCACCCAACATGGTAAAAATCACAATGTCTGCATCCAAAGGTGATCAGATGTGCAAAAAGATAAACACAATTCAAATTGAGAATTATCAACCAATCAAAGGTGACCCAGAACAGACACAGTTGTTAGACTTTGCAGACAAGGACATTAAAACAGTGGTGACTGTATTTCATATGTTCAAGAAGTTAAGCAGAGACATGGACGATATTAAAAAGATCTAAATAAAATTTCTACTGATGAAAACTGCAGTGTCTGTTGCCAGCAGTAATCTCATTAGACATGGCAGAGGAAAAGATGAGTACACCTGAAGATAATAGCTACAGAAACTATCTGAAATGAAACAGAGAAAGGAATTCCCCCAAATGAAAAGAGCAACAGTGAACTGAGGGATGCCTTTGGGAAGCTTAAAATAAGTTTAATTGGAATCCCTGGTGGGGTGGGGAGGGCAGAGATTTGAAATGGCCAAAAATGTTCCAAATTTGAGGAAAATCATAAACCCATAGATCTAAGAAGCTCAATGAACCTCAAGCAAAAGAAACACGAGGTAACCTATACAAAGGAACGTCATAAATTGCTCAAAATCAGTGCTAAACAACAAAATCCTAAAAGTAGTCAGAGGAAGAAAGATATGTGCAAAGGAGCAAAAGCAAAGACGACAGTGGATTTCTCACTGGAAACTATGCAAGTAAGAAGACTATAAAGCAGCATCTCTAAAGTACTGAAAGATACACTGCCAACCTAAAATCTTATACCCAGTAAAAATATATTTCAAAAATGAAGGCAAGAAACAAAAGCTTACATTAAAACAAATGAAGGAATTCATCACCAGCAGACCTAAATTACAAGAAATGTTCAAAGCCCAGGCAGAAGAAAATGAAATCAGATATAAAACTGATCTACACAAAAGAATGAGGAGGCTGGAAATAATAAACACATGGATAAATTCATAATTTTTGAATTATTGAAATATCTTTAAAAGATACAAGTAACATTGTTTAAACAAAAATAAGTGTTTTATAGGGTTTATAAAACATTTTTTAAGTAAACATATGACAATAGCATAAAGGCTAGGAGGAGAGAAATGGAAGTCTACTAGTATGAGGTTCTTCTACAACATATGAAGTGGTTTAATCAATTAACTGAAGTTCTACTGTGATAAATTAAGATGTACTTTTTTTTGGAGACAGGGTCTCACTCTGTTGCCCAAGGAACGTACAGTAAAGTGATCTCAGCTCACTGCAACCTCCACCTTCTGGGTTCAAGCAATTCTCCTGCCTCAGCCTCCCAAGTAGCTGGGATTACAGGCATGTGCCATCATGCCTGGCTAGTTTTTGTATTTTCAGAAGAGACAGGGTTTCACCATGTTGGCCAGGCTGGTCTTGGACTCCTGACCTCAAGTGATCTGCCCACTTTGGCCTCCCAAAGTACTGGGATTACAAGCATGAGCCACCGCACCTGGCCTAAAGATGTACATTATAAACCCCAAGTAACTGGAGAGCTAGACTTTGTTCCTGGTTCAAGAGACTTGAGAATATTAAGATGTCAATTATCCACAAAATGATTTATAGATTCAACGTGACCCCAAAATTGTAGGTTAAAGGAGAAAACATAGGGAGACTATTCTTCAGTTCCCTTTAAATCAGTTAATTAAGCAATCTAGTGACTGTAAATGTTAGAACCCAACTTCCTTTATTAGGAGATTAAAAAATAAGTCCAGCCTGGCCAACATGGTGAAACCCCATCTCTACTCAAAATTCAAAAAATTAGCCAAGTGTGGTGGCATGCGCCTGTAATCCCAGCTACTTGGGAGGCTGAGGCAGGAGAATCACTTGAACCCATGCAGGCAGAGGTTATGGTGAGTGGAGATGGCGCCATTGTACTCCAGCCTGGGCGACAGAGCAAAACTCTGTCTCAAAAAAAATATATATATATACACACACACACACACCCCTATGTGTATACACACACACACACACATACACACACACACTTCTAGAGTGTAAAATTATTGGTGTTGTGTTTACTTTTATTCCATTTTCAAAATTTTCTAGAGTGACCATATTTTTTAAAGTTTTTAAAAATAGAAAGGAAGAAATATGTATCCACTTGCAATGTTTTCAAATCCTGTTCCTGTCAAAACTGCACTTAGGGTCCAGAGCAGATAACTCTTACTTCGGTTCACAATTTTAAAAATCTTGCTCCTATTAGAACTGCAAGTATGTGACCTTAGTCACTGATCATGAGGAACAATGGCATATGACTTTAGACTACAGACTCCTCTCTTGGTGCAAGAAAGCTGTGTGAAAACTAGTACCATTATTGCCAGTTGCTTATCTTATATATTTAGCCAGCTTAGTTACATTTTCTAGACAGAACATTTTCAGTGGAGACCCTGAACCCCTGATATTGCAACTCCATCTTCTAATATTGGCCTGTTGCAAGTGATTCTTTTAAATTCGTTTTTAGAATTAAAACATATTAATTTCAACTACCATCTCTAAACATAGATTCAAGTACCCTTAGGCTTAAGGCACAGGCAGAAATACCTACATTAATAAATTTATAAAGATACAATGTGCTGTGCCAGCCACTCTGTGATACAGCCCAGCCTGCTCAATGTGTAATCCCTAGTCCAGACAGCCTCCCCTGTTTCTGTCTCCATCTTGTTTTGCTATGTCTGTGGAAAGAGTCATGGTGCCCTTGCCAGCCAAGTCCAAGGCTAATCGTGACCCAAGTGATCATTTACCTTCTTCGGCATCACAAAGATCTTGGTGAAGGACACCTGCGCACAGGTGATAAAACTTCACACACTAGGACAACTAGCTGAAGAGAACTTAAAACACAAAACGAAATCCCTAAATACTGCACAATTTAAAACATCACAACTTAGGAAATTGAAACCATAAAAAAAATTACCAATCATCTTGCTGCCTCAATACAGGCACTGTTACATTTTAGAGTACTTCTTTTCATTCTTAAAAAAGTAAGCACTTCTACTTAAATTGTTTCCATTAAGGTTAAGAATAAAGACTAGATCCAGGCTGGGTGCAGTGGCTCATGCCTGTAATCCCAGCACTTTGGGAGGCTGAGGCGGGTGAATTGCCTGAGGCCAGGAGTTTGAGACCAACCTGGCCAAATGGCAAAACCCCATCTCTATTAAAAATACCAAAAAACAAGATGGGTGTGGTGGCCCCTGCCTGTGATCCCAGCTACTCAGGATGCTGAGACACGAAAATTGCTTGAACGTGAGAGGTGGAGGTTGAAGTGAGCCAAGGTCGTGCCACTTTACTCCAGCCTCGGCAACAGAGTGAGACCCTATCTCAAAATAAATAAATAAATAATAAAAATAAAAAATAGATCAGAATACGTGAGTTTGAATCTCACCTCTACCACTTAGTAGCTGTATTATTTTGAACAAGATACTTAACTTTGTGCCTCAATTATCTCATCTATAAAATGGGGATAATATCAGCACTTGCCTCATATGGTTGTCGTGATAATTAAATAGGTTTTTATATGTAAATCACTAAGAACAATGGGATCATGGTAAGCATTATAGAAAATATTATTATTCTATTATAAAACATACATAGTAAAATGTAATAATAATGATAACTAATACTTTGTATTTTCTCATGCTATTTTAGATATTTGTACATAGTTGGCTCTCAAAAAATTCATGAAAATATTTGCATTGTTTTAAATGATTGTATTATATCGTGGAGGGGATTAGTCTACTTAAATAGTTCCTTAAAATTAAACTTAAAGTTAAAATTAATATTTCACTGATTGAATATTTTCCCATGAATAAATTCCCAGAGATGGGATTACTGGGTCACAGGGCATTACATTTTAAGCCTCTTGGTATATACAGCTTAATTAGCTTCCAAGGAGTTTTACCACTCTGCAGGGCAACAGCGATGTGAGTACCAGCATCATCCCAGCAACAGTGAGTATTAATACCAAATGTTCTCCTAACTTCACAGTGGAATATAAGCCTGGAGTTTTAGTTGGACTGCCAGTGAGGTTGTGTGTGTTTCCTTATGTAAGTGGTTAGCTTTTATTCCCTTCACTGTGAATTGACTGCTCATGTCCTCATATCCTCTGCTAATTCTTCAATTAGAGGCCTAAAGATTTTCTTAACAGTTTATAGGAATATTCCATGCGGTAAATATATTAACCTTTTGTCATTTTTGTAAACACATTTTTTCAGACCCAGGTTTTGGTTTTGCTTCTCTTTTTCTGTTATTTTTTGCAAACTGAAGAAATTTTTATGTGTCAAATCTCTTGATTGTTTTCATTTGTGCTTTATTTTATCACTTAAGCTTTTACAAATCCTTCTCGCTCTGTAAGCTTGATAAATATTCTATTTTCTTCAGGCTTTTCTAGGGCTGACTTGTTAATAGGGATTCTGTAAGTTATCTGGAATTTATTTTGGTGCCAATGTGAGGTGAGGTATTGATGGCTGTATTTTCCAAATAGCCATTCAGATTCCTCAATGCCATTTATTGCAACATTTAGAAATTGCAGCAAAATTTGCATTGAAGAAGTCACAAGCACCAGACGGGATATTTTCCCCTTGTTGATATTCTCTGCAGGGACAAGACACCAGACGGTGGGAGAAAGGTGAGGAGGGGTCACTATGCGGAAACGCCTAATGAGAGGACAGTTCCTCAGGTACCCCCTTAACATCCCACTCACAGGCATGCCTGGAGTAGCAGAAACCCATAAGAAAATGTGAGAAAGCATGGGTTCTGTAGGAAACTAAACAAAATGTGTGCTATTGATTAGAGCTCATCCTGGAGATCACAACTTCACTTAGGTAACAAGATAGCGTGGCAGATTTCCTAAGGTACTGAAATAATAGGTGACTTTTCCTAAGACGGGAAAATCAAATTAGAGAACAAGGCTCATAGAATTAGAGAATCTTAGGCCTAAGGGCATCTCCTGCACATCTGAAAATACAAGGAACAGATGGAGGTCCAGATAAGTTAACTGAGGTCCTACATTCACAGTACTACTGATGGTACTATAGGGTCTAGGACCTGGATCTAGAATTCAGTGTGTGCTTTCCTCCATGCCAAGTAACTGCCACATAGATTACAGAAATAAGTCTCTAGGACTCTAAGGTTCAAGCAACGGCCACGTCTGAGTAGTTTTCTTAGCATGCACAAATGTGCATAGACGAGCTTGCACACAAATATATTCATTCACTGAAGGAACACTGATTCCCCACTTGTACTGTAGGGCCTGTTCCAGGTGCTGAGATACAGCAGTGAGTTAGACAAGCTCCCTGTTCTCGGGAATACATACTGCTATATATGTCATATAACATATATATTGCTTTTTATGTCATATAGCATATATATTGCTTCATATCATAACTTTGCAATAATCCAACTTACTAATTTACAAATTTAGATTGATCTATTTTGGGTCAAACTCAAACACCTCAAAACTATACTAAAAACAGGAAACCCTTGCTGTGAGACCATTAGCTTATAACAGGGGTCAGCAAACTACAGTCCTTGGGCTCAAATGAGCCTCCTGTTTTTAGAAATAAAGTTTTACTGGAACATGACCACACCCACTCATTTGCATATTCTCCAGGACTACTTTCAAGTTTCAACAGCCGAGTTGAGTACTAGTGACAGAAACTGTATGACCTGAAAGCCTAAAATATTTACTATTTGCCCCTTTGAAAAAAGCTTGCAGGGCCCTGGTTTATAAACTAGGTTTTAACCTTATTCTTAGAGGAGCGGCAGCATTAAAGGCTCCTACTGAATTAAAAAAGAAACTTCTTTAATGCATTTCACTCTTGGGTGACTGTACTAACAAACAAGATATTCTTTCCTGCTAGACAATGAGCCCTGAGCCCTGTTACATCAGAGAGAACAAGATCTTTGCTTCATTCCCTGTGGTAATTACGAGGTATGTGTTTGCACTGGTTAGTTGTGAAGTTTCCACTCACGACAATTAAGCGATGACAAGTCCAGCTTCTTCCTAGTCATTTGGTTTCTCTGGTTTCCATATGGTGGTATGGGCGTGGAGGGGGCTTTGGAGTAGGATGGGAGGGAGGAAAGTTTTCAGCTGGGTTCAGGTATACTTTGGGGTAAAGAGGGTTAGAATGAAGGTTAACAGAAAGGAGAAAAAAAAAGACTATCTGAAAAGCCAGTGGTAATGGAAAAGAGTTTGGCCTTTTCCTCCATCAGCCACTCCAGAAATGCTGAATTTAATTTGTCTTCAACATGGGTTTCCCAGCTCACCTGCTGCCCACAGGCTAATGTGGTTACAGTCAGACAACTGACTGTAAAAATGGCACCTTCTCACTCAGCATAACAGCTCTCTGCAGACCTCCAAGTCATAGCTGCTCAATTTACTGACAAAAACAAGCTTTTATTACTGTTGGCACCACTGAGCCAAAGTGGCCAGAGAAGCATAGAGAGATCCTTCTCTGCCGTGTACATCGTCAGCACAACTGTCAGGGAAATTCCCCTTCCCGAATCCTTCAAGTGCTGATGAAGTGAGGGGCTGATCCAACACCCAGGGCTGGCAATCAGCAACATCAGCTCTTAATTTGTAAGCCCCGCAAATGCAGAGGGAGCTCCTCCTCATTCTCACTTAATGACTCCTTGCTGGTATCATTTGTAACCATCACTTGTGAGCGTATAATTGCATGGTGAAGTCAGAATGTTAACATCAATAAATGGAAGAAGTTAAGCAGAATGGCAAGAAGCTTAAATAACAGGCGAGCACTGGTGAAGCCTTGGCCATGGCCTAGACAGTGATGGGTTCGTTTCAGGAGAATCTGGTTTTCTTTGGCTGTGAACACACATGCCATGCGTCATTAAGGAGAGCGTCAGGGCTGCAGTTTCACTGGAGAGGAACGGAGCCTACAGAAGTAGGTGTGCAGTGCCCTGGCACGGGAAAACAGAAAGGTTCAAAGCTCTGCCAAGTGTTTCTCGGGGCTGTCAGAACAGCAGTGATACAGAGAGCAAGCTCTGGAATGAAAAATTTCTGGGCTGAGTTTCAGTAGTCACTGAAACTAGTGACTGCAGCAACCCCTAGTTGCTGACCTTGGGTGGAATACCCCACCTCCGTTAAGCCTGTTTCTTCACCTGTACTGTACAGTGTGATAACAGTAGTATTCGCTTAGAGGGTTGCTAGGGGCTTAAATGAGAGCCAGTGTGCAAAGGCGTAAGACTGGGGCATTGAAAGACTGTCACATATGGTGATGAAGAAGAGGATCAGGATGAGCAACAAGCAAAGAGCTCAGCACCTCTCAACCACATCTGAACTTGGGAGTCTTTCAGAGCAGTGAGGCACAAGGCATGGCAGGAAACAGTATTATGACTACAGGGCAATGTGGCACTCATGCCTTGGGAAAGTCCTTCCTTCCATGGAAGGAAAGGGCAATGTCTCAGGGTGGTGGGGATGCTTCGGCCAGGTGGCAGGTGCTCTGGGGTGCAGGGTATGGAGGAGGAGTGTGAGAAGGACAGACAGGAATGGTCACCTGTGTGCTTGGTGCCAATGTGAGTCTTTATCTCTGCTTCCTCCATGGTGACGAAGTCGCAAGCAGTGCAGCAGATTGAAAACATCCACTGCTCCTTGTCCACGTGGAGTGACATGTGGCTGACAAACTGGACATTGAGCTCTGTCTCAAATCCACACACGTGACAACTACATGAAAGGGTAAAAGAAAAGAGGGGGAGAGAAAAGGGTGACACATACTTCTAAATGTGGGCTGTCCATTTATACACAGTACACTCAAGAAAACTGGAATTTGAAACACATTTGTCTTTCCACCAAAAGGTTTTGCATTAGAAAATTCTTCTGCTTTCTGGGATGCCTCTAAAGTAATCACTGTGCCAAACAGACTAAGGCCCAGCATCATGTAACAATCACATATGTATTATAATGATGCTAAATAATCATAAAGTTAATTTACAACCATGGATTCCAGATGCTGCACATCACCTAACTGATTTCCTTTGGGCAAAGAGATGCAGGGTAGCGTTGCCAAGGTATTTAGTGGTGCTGGTACACTGATAAACTCGGAGAGCACCTCACAGCCCAGGAGCCTCTCTCTGGCTCTGGAAACCTTCCCTAGTAGCAATGAAAGCACATACAGTTTGTTGTATGGCACTCCAAGCAAGAGGCTACTCTATCTGGGACAACTTCTGATAGAAGCCACCCATCCCTAGAGACATTCCTGCAAAAGGAAGTTTCCACCAATCAGTATGGCATATCTCTAGGGCAAGATCTGATAGACAGCCAGAAACTTGGGGGTTTTATGACAATCAAACCAATATTGATTCATGATTGAATACAGAAACGAAACATAAAATCCAGGTACTAAAGGGTGATACAGCCAAGGGGAAATATGTAATGCCTCTGGGCTATTTCTCTGGGGTTCTCAGATTTACATTTCCTCAGCCTTTTTTTTTTTTTAAACAATTCTTAGGGAGCAGCAACACACTCCGTTACAAAGGTTGGAGCTTCTGAGCTGAACAGACCTAAAAATTCATCCTCCCCAGAGCCCAGTCACTGTCTGGAGCTCCACCCCAGAGAGCCACCTCTAAGACCATTTCTCTTTCAATTAATACTACCAGGGGCAGCCAAGCCAAGAGAGGAGTCTGTGCAACTGCAGGGCTCAATCTAAGCAAAGAAATGACTCAAATGAAGGCCAGGCTATGACTCAGAAAAGGAGCCTCGTGATGTATGCCCACAGCAGACAGGTAGGAAATGTTGAAGCCAAGAGTCTGAGAAAGGCAGACTAGCATGTTCCATCTGCAACTCACCTGTAATAATAAGGATGTTTCTTCCCGTCACTGCCTTCAGAGGTGACGGCGCTGACAATGTCCTCGGTGTCTGTACTCACCAGCTTCACGGAATGGACAGTCAAGTGCTGGTTCAGATTTGCACGGCACTTAGCAGCATAGGGGCACAAGTGGCATTTGTATTTTCTTTCCTCTGGGGGAGAAGGAACAGGAAAAAGCCCAAATCGTTTTCAAAAAGGAAGTCCCAACACCTTGTAAGAATCACTTAAAGGTATAAAGGAAAGAATGGTTCAAGTCACATCTCAGATGGCAACAATGGTAATGCCTTGGAATTCTAAGTATCTAAAAGTTTTTACCTAGCAGGTCACTCCTGTATTAGTACTTTTAAATATCTCCGGCTGGGCACTGTGGCTCACACCTGTAATTCTAGCACTTTGGGAGGCGGAGGCAGAAAGATCCCTTAACGACAGGAGCTCGAGACCAGCCCGGGCATCACAGCTAGACTCCGTCTCTACAAAAAATTTTTAAAAATTAGCCAGGCGTGGTGGCACAGGCCTGTAGTCCCAGCTATTTCGGAGGAGGAGGTGGGAAGATTGCTTGAGCCCAGGAGGTCAAAGTTACAGTGAACCATGATCACATCACTGCACTCTTGCCTGGGTGACAGAGGTAAACCTTGTCTCAAACAAAACAAAACAAAACAAAAAAAAGAAAGAAAAAGTCCCAGGGCAACTAGAATAGATAACCTGCCCCCCCCCTTTTTTTTTCCTGGACACCCACAGCCCCTTTTCCTGATAAGGTAAGCCCCATACAGGCCAAAATAATATTTTGTGCGTGAACAAGTTTGTGTGTGTGTGCACCCCATGTTTCAGTAGTGGGTGGGTGCTAAGCAGGGGAGGGGGAATGAAACACAGCATTTGCAGGACTGCAGTGTAAAAGAGGCCTCATCATTTTCCCTAAGCTCCTGGCTTGGGTCAGCCAAGAAAAAAAAAAAAAAAAAAAAAACTAATGAAATTAAGGGAAAAAAATGCTGTGTGAAATAACTTAATTGGAAATTTCATTTTACATAAATAAAATAAAGAATTTCAATTAATTTCTTAATGGAAACCCTCTCATAAAACTGACAAATGTTTCAGTATCATTTCCAGAGTGGCATTCTGAATGCGTCTGATTAATCAAGCAAATTAAAGTAAAAGGAGCAGGCTTTGCTTTCATCATACAGATAAAGGTAAGAGCAGAAGATGAAGGAAAGAACAACTCCAGTGTTCTATCCTTGATGCTTACTTGGTATTACTGAGCCCGGCTTAAAGAAAATACCTGTCTTCTTTAGTTCACAGAGAAGAACATGGAAAAAAAGTTATTCTCTACAAAATATGAGACCATTATTATATTATTATAGGTGGTCCCCAACATCTTGAAGGGCTGGCATCTGGGCTCCGCAGGGTCAGTCAGGGAAAGAGCCCTACCATCCAGATAAAATGTGTCCTTTCTTTAGAAGTTTTGCATTTGTATGCATAAGTGAGGTTGGTAAGTTTTGTTATTAAGGTTATGCATCCTTCACAAAGTGAAACTGTGGAGCTTTTTAAATCTTTTTCTATCATTTGGAAAGGTTTAACAATGTCGGAATTTCCTCTTCTCAAAAGGTTAGAAGGAACTCACCAGGGAAAACTTCTGGACCTGATGCCTTTATTAATGATACGTCCTTCATAATTTTTCCAAATTTCCCTTTGGGAACTGATTGATTCAAGTCTCCCCGTCCCCCTACTTTGGGTCAATTTTAGTCATTCTGTTTAAATGATCTATGTTATCTCAGTGTTCAGCTTTTTTTCTTAGAGCTTCATTATTCTCCAGTAATTCTTTAACATCTTCCACACTGATGATTAGGCTTCCTTTTTCATTCCTAACTTTGAGTATTTTTGCTTCATTTTCTTAATCAGGCTTAAAAGGATTTATCTATTTTATGGCCATCTTCTTTCTAGACTTTGTTGTTTCATCAATTCCTTAAGATGACTGTTAAGTTCCTCTATTTTTGTCTTTCTCTAATTAAAATGTTTACGTCTATAAATTTCCTCTGACTAGAGCTCTTGCTGTTTGCTCCAGATTTACGTATGAAGTGTTCTCTGTTTCATTCCTTTTAGATGTCTGTTATTTGAATTTTTATTTTCTCCCTTTTTCTTTGGTCCAATTAGGCAGGACGTTTTATTGACCCTTACTTATTTAAAATTTCATTTAAGTATGCTCAGAGAATGTGACCTTATACAACTCCACTTTTTTGAACATGTTAAAGTATTCTTTGTGGCTAAGTATATAACTAAATTTTGTCTTTAGTGGAATTTAAGATGAAAAATATTAAAAATATTTTTAAGAAAAGACACCAGTCTGGGCAGCATGGTGAAACCCCGTTTCTACAAAAAACTTTTTGTTGTTTTTGAGACTGAGTTTCACTCTTGTCACTCAGGTTGGAGTGCAGTGGTGCGATCTTGGCTCACTGCAACCTCCACCTCCCGGGTTCAAGCGATTCTCCTGCCTCAGCCTCCTGAGTAGCTGGGATTACAAGCGCACGCCACCACACCCGGCTAATTTTTGTATTTTTAGTAGAGATGGGGTTTCACCACTTTGGCCAGGCTGGTCTCAAACTCCTGACCTCAGGTGATCCACCCACCTTGGCCTCCTAAAGTGTTGGGATTATAGGTGTGAACCACCGTGCCCAACAACAAAAACCTTTTTTTAAAAAATTAGCTAGGCATAGTGGCAGCGTGCACCTGTAGTCCCAGCTACTCAGAAAGCTGAGATGGAAGGATCACTTGAACCTGGGAGGCAGAGGTTGCAGTGAGCTGGGATGGAGCCATTGCACTCCAGCCTGGGTGTCAGAGCAAGACCCTGTCTGGGGAGGAAAAAAAAGACAAAATTAATCTTGTCCTATTAATAGTTCCTGTCTTGCTTTTTAAGTTTTGTGTGATGTACGAAACCTTTATTTTGAACTTTTCTTTATCATTTTGTTTTTGTGTTCCCTGTAAAGAAGATACATCTGGATAACTTAAAAACCTGATTTCAATGTAAAAATGGAAATGTTTGATTTTATTATTTCCATCTTGCTTTATGTTTACTACTGATTTTACCTTATGTCTTTTTGTCTTCAATTATTTTTGCTGTGTGGACTAAGTTACTATTTATTCCTCCTTGTTAACTTGGTTCCTTCCCTTTCCCAACTCTCAGAACCAACCATATTTCTCCACAATTACATGTAAATAAAGGCAGAAGCTGTTTCTCCACCGAGGTGCCTTTTCCCCAGCTGCTCTCACCCATCACAATAAGATAAAACCAGTAAGATGGAGTGTGTCCCCCTGTCCTGCACTCTCAGGATGAGCTCAATACATTTTTTTTTTTACAGAGTTTAGGAATTTTACCGGAATAAACCTAAATTGTGTATATTTTCTCATCAGTCCTACTTGGAACTCAATGAACCCTTTCAATACAAATAAAAAAGCCTTTCCAAGGTCTTCTTTAAACATGCCAGGCAAAACGGCTTGAAAATGTCAGGATAAACACATTCCCAGCGCTTCCTGTAACGCCTCTCTTAGAGAAACTCAGCTTCTGGAGAGTAAAGAAGTTGGTGATGGAGCATGGAGGGCTGACAGCCCAGGCCCCACTCACTCACCTGTGTGCAGCGACAGGTGTCGGGACAAGGTCTGCTGTCGGCCAAACACTTTCCCACACACGTCACAGGGAAAAAGTTGGTCATTGAATTTCCAGGATGGTAATCCATTCCCTGCCTCTAGGACTATCTTTTCTGTTTCTGGGTCAAAAGAACAAAGCATCATGAGAAATAAGGCAACAAGAATACATTTTCTGTTAGTCAACATTCAGGATTTCGGCAGAGCCTTCCCTCTGAAGAACGTGGCTAGTAACTGCAAATGAGTCTCCGGAACTGGTTTTCATGCTCATTTCCTGTCTCTAAGAAGGCCATTCTTGAAAGCTGTGGTGGCAAGTGGATTCCGACCCCCGTCAAATCTTCAGTATTTTCTCTCTTTCATCACTGAAGACCAGCCAACTAACCCTCTAATCAGTTGACAGCACTGTGCCCAGTATACAGCAGATACTCAATAAATACTTGTTGAATGAGTTGACTGACTTGCATGTTAAAATTCCAGAAACGTAGGCTCTTGCCACAAGACAGTAAATAAAGGATTGTAGGCTGGGCTTGGTCACTCACACCTGTAATCCCAGCATTTTGGGAGGCTAAGGCGAGTAGATCACTTGAGCTGCAAAGTTCAAGACCAGCCTGGCCAACATGGTGAAACTTTGTTTCTACTAAAAATACAAAGATTAGCTGGGCATCGTGGCGGGTGCCTGTAATCCCAGCTACTTCAGAGGCTGAGGCATGAGAATCGCTTGAACCTGGGAGGCGGAGGTTGCAGCGAGCTGAGATCACACCACTGCACTCCAGCCTGGGTGACAGAGTGAGACGCTGTCTCAAAAAAAAAATGTAAGTCTCAGATTCTGATGTGAAAACAAATGGTGCTATCCCTTGAAAGGAAATATACTTTCATTCTCTTTAAGAAGAAAGCTTTGCTCTTCATTCCAGTTTGAGCAAAATCCTTAATGAGGAATTTGTGCTAAGGAGACTCAGTGATGACTACCGCACACTGTACCACAGAAAATTCCCTAATGCAAGAATGAACCAGAATTTCCCCAAAGGTCTCATATTTGGGAAAACAGTGAGTGCCACAAGTTGTCCACCCATAATTCACAGCCATGAACGAAACAAATGGACTTTAATACATTCTCTAATCATCTTAAAGAGTTTTTATTTTCTCATTCTTATCCCTAGGATTACCTTTAATCCTAATTCATGTTTCTTCTTGTGGAACTGTACCAGATTATATAAACATTCCTTCTATGATAATGTCATAAAATAGGTGACAGAACACCAGGAAGAGGGAAGGAGACAATTCTAAAAGGACACTTGAATGGGCCACTGATAGGCCTTTCACCTCACTTTGAAGATGAAGACAAATGATACACTAAGTTAATATCTTGTCTTTTACCTCAGTAAATCATTGCAAATCTCCTTAAAGCACAGTGCTGCATTTAGAACTGGACACCATGTGGTGATAATTGAATGGTGGTAAGAACTTCTCACAATCTAAGCAGATGAAAATGCTCACAACACGAGTCAGAGATAACATCAGAAGAAAGAACTTTATTTCACACAATTTAGTTAAAACTGCTTCCCAATACAGGCTTCCACCTGTATGTGGATAAATCAACAGGATCAATTTTCATTTGAATGATTTGCCAGATAGGGTAATCTAAGCGAAGAAGAAACAAATATGAATGTATGTCTGGAAAGGGGAGGAGGGGAAATGATGGTGAAACTGCAATAATGTTCGCTGTGAGGCACCTGCCAGCAATCCCAACACTGATAAAGCACATGAATTGATTTATCTGTGTTTGTTAAAACATAGCACTTGGGGCCTTAGGGAGAAGAGTTGCTCTTATTAAAGTAGAAATGTGTGACTAAAAACCTCTCAAGGGGAAGAGAATTAAAAAAAGGGAGTTGAACTTCTGAGAACAAGAACTACTCTTAGATGGCTGTCCTTGAGTCCAAGCAGTGGGCATTTCAGCTGTGCAGTGAATTTCAGTGTATAATAAAAACAGTGCTTCCAAGAACGATAATGGTAATAATTATAAGGAGAGGTCAAGAGGGTGCAGGGTCTCTTAATACATTCATAACAAGAATGAATGAATTGGGTCAAATACCAAACAAGTAGATGCAATTAAAAATAGATAAGCATCTTAATAAATCCTTCAAGTATCAGTCATGTACTCAAGAAGTTGAAGCATCATGAACTGTCTGATTCCTTCCACTGGTGTTAGAAAATGATGAAAGCACAAATCTCATCATGTCTTGTTCTGTATGCCAACGGCTCCTCAAGGCCAAACTTCTGGCTTCTGAGTCCTTCATGGCCTGGCTCTGGCCACCTCCCACCACCCAAATGCTTGGCAAAGTAGACTGCTTGACTTTTCAGGAACAAACAATTCCCTTTTAAGTGTCATTGCTTTTGAATCAACTGTTCCTCCACCAACAGCTACTCCCCACAACTACTTCTCTACAATAAACTCAGACTCAATTTGAAGCCCCATCTCAGATTTCATCTCCTCGGTGAAGCCCTGCCCAATTCCCAAGGAAGAGTTAGTCATTTCCCCTGCTCTGTCCCAGGGCACTTTTATGAATATTTCCATTGTACCACTTTACCTGTTATATCACTTGTTTACATATCTTCTATAAGCCATATATATATATATATATATATATATGCATATAAAACACCCAGTATAGTCCAACGTGAAGCAGTGCTCACTCAACACGTCCCCTGGCCTCCCTCCCCTGGGGGAAGGGTTCTGCATTATTTATTTGTGTATCCTCAGCATTAGCACAATCTCTGCTACATAAGAGGTGCTTAGTATATATTTGTTGAGTAAATGAATGACTGAATAAAAGGGTCCAAGTGAGGCAGAGAATAGACATTATTCTTATTTTATAGAGCAAAAGACTAATAATTTAGTAGCATTCATTAAGGCCTATGGCCAATTCAGAATGAAAAATCAGGCTACCTGCCTTTTGAATTACTGTTTTAACTCAATTCACTAACTGCTTTCATGATTCTATTAGTGGAAATGTTTGCAGTCCTGAGCCATACTTCCAAAGGCTCTAAATTCTTACCTCTTCCCAATAGCATCAAGCCACAAGATGATTCCCTTTATGATGAACTCTGGCAGTTGCTATTTGTCAGTTAACCCAACAGTCATTGTCAACTTTCCTTATCCCCTGACTTCTCCAGCCATGGAAGCAGCTGGGGTAGCCATGTGCCAAAGTTCTGAGAAGGCTTTTGCGGTTCTGTTAAAATGAAGGATATGACTAGTATTGCCCCCTTCTCTTTTCCAGCCTTGATCACAGAAGAAATGGTTAGGACTCTGGCAGCCATTTTGTGAATATGAGGCATGAAGACAAAAGCCAACTGCCAAGGATGGAGAAAGGGAAAGATGGGAAAAGTATAGGTCCTTGATATGGTTTGGTTATGTGTCCCTGCCCAAATCTCATGTCAAATTGTAATTCCCAGTATTGGAGGTGGGGCTTGGTGGGAGGTGACTGGGTCATTGGGGGTGGAGTTCTCATGAATGGTTTAGCATGGTCTTTCTGGTGCTGTTCTCATGATAGTGAGTGAGTTCTCACAAGATCTGGTTGTTTAAAAGTGTGCAGCACCTTCCCCTTCTCTATTCCTACTGCTCTGGCCATGTAACATGTGCCTGCTTCCCCTTCACCTTCCACTATGACTGGAAGCTTCCTGAGGCCTCCCCAGAAGCCAAGCAGATGCCAGCATCATGCTTCCTGTACAGCCTATGGAACTGTAAGCCAATTCAACCCCTTTCTTTATAAATTACCCAGTCTCAGGTATTTCTTGATAGCACTGCAGGAACTGACTAATACAGTCCTCTGTGACATTTCTCAGTAGCTGAATGAACACCAGCAACCACCCACTTCTGGACTTCTTGTTTCGTGAGGGAAATAAGTCCCTGTTTGTTTCAGCCACCGTTGGTTGGGTTTTCTGTTACTTGTAACATTCTTAACTGAAGGCCCTTCCTATGGTTCCTCTTGGTCTTAGGACTTTGAACATTAGGTTCCACCTTTTGACAGGCTTTAATTCCCAAAATCCCCCATCCTGTGAAGAACTCTCCACATTAATTATCAACAGCAACAAGTGTACAGCCAGCTGAACACATTTCCATCTTAATTATCTTCTTCTGTTGGGAAAGAAAAACCTTAAAAGCTTCTTTTAGATTACTCAGGAATTTCCTTTAAAAAAACTTTTTATGAAGCATAATATATGTAACAGAAAAGTGCACATATCAATAACTGCTTTTAAGTTAGTTCCGAAGTCACAAAACAGCTTGGAATATGGGTACTATTTTTAAATTTTTGCTACTCTTCATCTTGATTCCCATATCCCTTAGCATTTGTTTCATTATTTTAAGTAGCTTGAATATATACTTAAGATTCTCTTCATTTCTTTTAGAAATTCTTGTCTAATGGTAACCTCTTTTTTTGTATGGAGTCTCATAGGATTTTGTCTCTTATAAAGCGTTTTATTTCTTTTCACACTCTTATGTTCTGATCCCTGGGATAACCATAAATTGCTTCCAGAAATTCCTGGCTACTTGGTATTATGTGATCAGATGTTTTTTCTCCACTTTTCCACCTATGATGTTTGCCTTGAATGCCATTTGGGCTTTTCCTCTTCCTTATGTAGGTTTTTGTTTTAAATGAAGCAAACAGGTGTATAGGATTAAGCACTTTTGTCCTTATAGTACAGCTGGAAAAATAGGAACACAGTGTAAGGAGAACAATCCCATCTTAGCAATCCGAAAACAAGGCTGTCAGCTCTTCCTATTAATGGTGAACTGAGGTCTGTCATCCATAATGATGAGGACTAGTTGGTCAAAATACAATACAGCAAACTATGCTTCTTATAACCTAGTTATTCAAGGGGACATGTCTCATTTCATGCATAGGTCCTGGGAAGATGAAACCCATACAGTATGTCTCCAAAAATTTTCCTTAATTAAACACATTTCATAGAATTCAGGAGGGAATTCTATCAAAATCTGCTTGACAAAACATTATATCAAGTAGAGCACTCAGTTATCTTCAGATCCAATTTGTTCATTTTCAGGAGGATAAAAATGAAGCATTATATTCCAGGACTTCTCCAACCCCAGAGTAACCCACAACTT